ATACATATACACATATACATATATACATATACATATATATATATATATATATATATATATATTTATATATACATACCTATATAATAAAGTATGAATAAATTTAGTCTTGAATCATGTTTCAGCTGAGACAGCAGCTACAGCTCAGTACCTTGAACATGAGGACCACGTGGCAGGAGTCTTACAGGGACAGGCTCACCAGTTGGACTGTGGGTGAGACTAGTGGGACTAGTTGGTGGTCTGTGGACTGGGAAGGGATCACAGTTCCTCAGAGTGCAAGGTTCTGCGGACGATACAATCAGCATCTGAGGGATAAAGAAGAGGAGAGAGATGATGAGGAAGACCAATAGTCTTCAGTAACCCTTAAAATATAAGTAAACTTGTTAAATATTGCCTCCTTTTTCCAGTGACTCCGTATCACATACGGATGGATAGTGTTTTGTCGACCCCCCAAAAATGATCAATTACATCGAAGGAAATATTCCAGCTGTGAGCGGCAGGAATGGAAACAGATAAAAAGCAATCCAAAGAAACCCCAGGATCAGGTTTTTTTTTTAAATCAACAGCTTTTATTAAACCTGTTCTTAGGGCTTGTCAATAATTCAATATCAATATATTTCACAATATAATTTTATTCTTTTTTTTTCTTTTCTTCATTTTTATTTACCTTTATTTATCCAGGTAGTCTCATTGAGCCATGAGAACTCATTTTCAAGAAAGACCTGTTTAGGGAGCAGATGGTGGGGGTTAAGGGCCTTGCTCAGGGGCCCAGAGTGGGACGAATGAGGGTGAAGGGAGGTGTGGGTGTTCCACCTTTTCCACCCACATTTTGATGTTGATGGTACAGGGAGTTTCAATAATTCAATAACAATTCAATAACGGTGATATGAGTTTTAAGCACATTTTTGATATTTCGAAATACATTACGCTATGATTACAGCATTTCACTGACGCATTTCTTTTTCTGTTCAAGTTGAAGTTGCCGCTTCAACCCAAACAGAAAAAGCCACAACACAACTACGTAAGTGTATGGTGACGTACACCACAGCTCGAAGGAGTCAGCAGTAGCAGGCTAGGCTAGGCTAAAGCTCCAACGCGCGGTAAGTTTTTGCTTCAAAATGAGTGTCCATGACCGTTAGAATGTGAAAAAACTTTCACAAGTGAAGAGAAAACAGATGACATAATCGATAAGAGAAGAAAGATTATTTTGGTGGTGTGAAAGTGGTTTGGCTATCTAAGATCCGATAAACTGCAGGTTTCAGTGTGCTGCAAAATGTGCCGGAGGGTCGTTCCAACTAGTTGTAGGAACTAGGGGTGTAACGGTACATGTGGGTGTACCAAACCGTTTTGGTACGGCATGTTCGGTTTGGTCCATGTGCGTACCGTTTAGGTTATTTTTTCACTCATTAAATTTTATTAACGAGAGATTATGCGCCATGGAACTAAAATTCCTAAGCGTGTTTCAGCACGGCGCTATTATCTTGCAGCACGTGCAGCATTAGCAGCCTAGCATGTCATTGCGGTCTCCTGTTGGGGAACATTATGTCTTTCTTGTTAAAAGACAAGTGTAAATCCAAAGCTGTGTGTCGACGTTGTTTCATAGAGAGTGGATCTGCAGCAGCAACACGTCTAACTTGTCAACGCTCTTGAAACGACATCATCTGAACGTGAACGTCTCTTCTACAAGCAAGAAAAGCAGCTTGTTGCAAAGAGCTATAGCAGCAGCATTTAAACAACCTTTATCAGGTAATTCAGATAGGTCCAAAGCAATAACTCAAGCTGTAGGAGTTTTTAAAGCTCTGGATCTACGTCCGTATTCTGTTGATACGCCGGCTTTAAAGTTATTGACCTACAACATACCAACATCAGCCAAAAAGTTGTAGCAGCACTTTATGAAAAATATAAAACTGATATTGTCAACAAGCCCTGGACCAGATTAAAGTCCTGCCATGATGATGATGATGGTGATGATGAGCGAGAGATTCATCCACCTCATAACAACTGTTCAAGAAGAGGTATTGTTATTTTATTATTATTATCTAATTAACTTTTTTAAAGTTAAAATTATAATCTTATTAACTCATTTTTAACCTCTTTGTGTTTTATTTCCAGTCTGCTACAGAGATAACAGCAGAGTTTTCTTCCTCTTCAGTGAAATCCACCAGAGATCACCTCCAGCTAAGAAGTCTGTGATGAGTGAACGCTGAACTTTTCCAGGGACCTGTCCCACCTGTGGGAGCAGGTCCAAGAAGAAGTTGTGAGTAATGAGGCCAAATACAGCCACACTGCAAAATTAACAAAGTGCTACCTCTTTATTCTTGCTACTGTTGTTAGTGAGAGGATTTTCTCCACCGCTGGAGAAATTCACTGCAACTAGATCTGTGCTTTTGACAGAAAATGTGGACAAGTTTGTCTTTTTGGACAAAAACTTAAAACTTGATTAGTTAGATTGTAAATAGTCTGTTGCTGCTTATTGTTCTGGTTCTGACTGTTTTAATGTATTTATTAAGATTTTCATTATTGTTAGTATAGTTTATTTATTGTAAGAGTGCTGTTTATTTAAAATATCATCATAATGGGTCACTTTTATTTATTTTTATACAAACGTATTGTTTACTTGGAATATTTTCAAAATAAATGTTTTGTAAGTCTTTATTTTGACTTTTTTTGTACCGAAACTGAACCGAACCAAAATGTGATTTTAGCGTACCGTTACACCCCTAGTGGGAACACATCGAACCTGTTCCACGATCTGGAGAGTTTCCACTTTATAGAATATGCTGAGAGTCAGAAGATCAAGCACAATAAAAGTTTGAGCCAAAGTGTCCCTGAAACTATGGAAATGAATGCATCTCAATTTTCAAATGAAAATGGATTAATAGAAATGCTTTTCATTTTCAAAATAAATCTGCATGTTTTGATTCAAATAAAATTTAAAATAAATCATCCAAACTGCATTTTCATTTTCTTTTCCAAAACTGCTCAATTTGTAAAGTAATGAAAATGATAAATAACATAATGTTTAATGTTTAATTTTCAAAATATATCCCTGTAAAAAGTGACCAAAATTCATTTTGAAATGTCAGATTTAAAAATTAAAATGAATTAGCAGCAATACTTTTTCATTTCAAAGTCAAAACTGCATTTTTGACACATAAATGAAATTGCTAATAGATCATCCAAACTGTGTTTTCATTTTTATCTCAACACTGCTCATTGTGTGACACAACTACAGAGAAAACTGAGGAAACTGCTTTTTAGTTTTCACGCCCCGCCCCCGAAAAAAGTGTTCCATCAATCAATTAGAATTCACAATTCCAAGCAGTGCAGGAGAGTGACGTCAGTGGCAACTCTTCCTCTGCTGCCGCACACTGCCCAGTCTTACACATCTTGTACGTTAGGGGGCAGTGTGAATTTCTTATGCTACGGAGACAGGTCTTTTTATTGTTTTTTTAATTATTATTATTATTATTATTATTATTATTATTAATAACAGAACACGGAACAACAGAACATTACACAAAGATGCAGGTACAGACTCTTGTGAAATGTGTCATAACTACCATATTCAAGATAGGGGTTTTTATAAAATAATGAAAGATTAAAAAAAATTAAAACGCAAAGGAGCAAGACTATATGAGAAACTTAAAACAACCAATTTTTAGATATTTGTTGTGAGATGATTCTAGCAGTTTTCCAGTTTTTTAATCTACTTAATGAAGAATAGTATGACTTAAATTTGTTCATAAAACAGGGGAAGGAGGCATGTTATCCTTCCACTTACTAAAGTGAATGTGGTACTTTGCAATAAGTGCAACTTTATTTATGGCATCAGAGAAAGCTGAGCTTGAGTTATCCACCTAAAATAAAATAGCGTCAGCATCAAAAGAAGGAATGTTAAGTTTGAGATAACCGTATTTTCCGGCGTATAAGTCACAGCTCTTTTCATAATTTGTTAGTACTGCGACTTATACGCCTAAGCGACTTATATACAGTATGCTTTTCTCCTCTTCATGATGCATTTTTTGACTGATGTGACTTATACGCCAAAAAATACAGGTAATCAAAATTCTGATATCTGTCCAAAAACTTTGTGAGCACATGAAAAAAAAACAATTGCTCGAGGGATTCATCTTCTGATTTACAACAGGCATACAAATCAACCATCCATCCATCCATTCTTTACCCGCTTATTCCATTTTGGGTCACGGGACCCGGGTCGCTGGTGCCCATGTCCAGCAATCACTGTGCGAGGAGCGGGGTACACCCTGGACGGGTCGCAAGTCCATCACAGGGACACATAGAGACAAACGAGACAAACAACCATTCACTCTCTCACTCACACCTAGGGACAATTTAGAGTTACCAGTCAGCCTAACATGCATGTTTTTGGTCTGTGGGAGGAAACCGGAGCACCTGGAGAAAACCCACGCATGCACGGAGAGAACATGCAAACTCCACCCAGAAAGGCCCCTGGACCGGGGTTTGAACCAGGGACCTGCTCGCTGAGAGGCAGCAGCTCTACCAGTTGCGCCACCGTGCTTCTTTGCAGAAACATGACTACAGGATATATCTTATTTATTATTTTTAAATGATTCTCCTTCACTTTAGGAGATTTAGGCCATTTGACATATTTAGAATGAGAAGAAGTCATTCTGGTTTTATGATTTAAATTAGGAGGTTTCTTGAAGGAATCTTTGTTATAATCAGTAAATTCTTTGTCACAAACATTCATTGATAATCTTATTTCATTTGAAGTCAACTAAGTTACAGATATTTAGTTTTAATATGGGCATCAAAAAGGTCACCTTCGAATATATAATGATATTTTTAATTAACTGAATCAAAGCTAAGGGGATTGCTTTACAAACCTTCTTAAAATCTTTAAGACAACAGCTAAGGTTATATTTTCTAACAAAAGATGAGAAAAAGGCAGCACGGTGGCATAACTGCTGCCTCTCAGTGAGCAGGTCCCTGGTTCAAATCCCGGTTCGGGGGCCTGTCTGGGTGGAGTTTGCATGTTCTCTCCGTGCATGCGTGGGTTATTTCCGGGTACTCCGGTTTCCTCCCACAGACCAAAAACATGCATGTTAAACTGATTGGTAACTCTAAATTGTCTCTAGGTGTGAGTGAGAGAGTGAATGGTTGTTTGTCTCTATGTGTCCCTGTGATGGACTTGTGACCTGTCCAGGGTGTCCATCCACTCCTCGCACGATTGTTGGACATGGGCATCGGCAACCCCCGTGACCCAAATTGGAAGAAGTGGGTAAAAGATAATGGATGGATGGAAGATGAGAAAATTACA